TTTTGAAATATCCAATAAAAAAGGTGTGGAGAAAAGGGTTAATTTTAAAAAAATTTTTTCAGTTTAAAAAAAAAAAAAAAAAAAAAAAAAAGTTTTTATGCTCTCTTGAGGTGGTTTTTGGCTTCTGCAAAAACGAGTCAGTCTCCTGAAGGGGAGATGGAAACACACTTGCAGAATAAGAGCTGATGTGACAAACACTCCTATCCGCTGGTGGGTCTTTGCCTTAACATAGACATGAAACACTAAAACTCTATAAAGTCCAAAACTCCATCTCACAGGGAAGAAGTCTCCATTTTTCTGATATGTGTGATGTGCAAGTTTGCAACCCTGTGCGTCTTGTTTATTACATCCATGTGTCACGTCAACGTTAATTTGTTCCCAACCAACAGATGGAAACGCGCCTAATTTTGCATTTTCTTTTTTGTGACATTTTTAAAGGTTTGCTCGAAATTCAGTTGACAGTTGGATGGACACACAGCTTGTGTTTGTCACAAAAGCTTAAAGTAGCGGTGTGAATACTTTTGCAAAGCACTGTAATGTACTTGTATTTCATAAATTAGAATATCATTGAAAGTTCATTCATTACAGTAACTCACTTCACTAAGTGAAACGCACACATTAATTACACACTGATTTCAAGCCTTAATTTGTTAATTATGGTGATTTTCTGTACATATGTAATAAAAACGCATTATTTAAAGTTACAGTACTATGTCAGACCAGTGAACAACATTTTCAAGACAGAAATACGGGCTTAATAAAAAGTGTGTTTAATACCTGCTTAAATTTTATTTTTAAAAGCTCCTTCTAATCTGACAAATTAGCCTCATTGAAATGCTTCTTCTAATGTATTAAATATGACTGTGATTAAGTTTTCTTCTCACTGCCATTAGTCAAGAAAATATTTGTGTCGCTTTAAACTTGGGAGTGACAACACTAAACTTTAAATCCTTCAAGCTTTAAATGATCCCCTCCCTTCTCATTAACTAAGTTTGACTTTGGCCAGCATTCAGACGCACCGCCCCTCCCACACAGATGCCTCACTTGAGACTTAAAGGGTGGTAATTTGTGGGGGGGGTGACCCCCTGACCTGGCCCTCGGCTCAAGCCAGCAAAGCCTTAATTAGCTGTCGTGAAAACTGCCCAGGATTCATTAGAGGAGAAATAGCTCTGTCAAGAGAAGCCATTTAAAAAAGATGATGGAAGCTGTCTTTTTATTTTTTCCCTCTCCTCAAAATGATAGTTGTGGTAATGATACTTTTTCAATAGGCAATGATAGTTTAATACGGTAATTGTCAGAAAAATGGGGTCATTACGGCAAAGCCCCTGAAGGGCCATTTAATTGGGTAAGCATAGCCGGTGGGACATATAGTCTAACGTTAAATATCGTAATGGAATCAGGGCGGAGTAGTTTGTTCGTGATGGAAACCGTCAGTGTCACAGTTTACAGATGAAGTGGCCTCATCAGCTGCGCGGTTTGATTTAAAAAAAAAAAAAAAAAATGCCAGATGGACAACATGAAACGACCATCCTCTCAGCGTCTCAGCCAAGGGTCAACCCGTGAGCCCGTCTCCCCCTTCAATATCTTTCAAAGCACTAAGCTGATTTTCTAAATTTATACTTTGGCTTTATTCGTTTGGCTCTTTACACGTTTAATCCCTTGTGGAATTTGACATTTATTGCTTAATCGGGATGGGTTTGGAAATTGGGATCATTACCGACACGTGTTGATTCATTCTCCGTCTGGCTCTGTAGACGTTCATCCACCTCGCGCGGCTAATTAACGCCGGACGTCACTGGGATCGAAAAGACGGTTAGGAAGATATGCACAATCACAACGTGTGCAATAAATAGTTAATCAAACCTAAATGAAGCACTGTAACTAAATGCAGCTATGATAAGCAGGCAAATTCAACTCAAATATGCTGTTATAAAATATATATATATATTATTGTTGTAGAATGGGATTAGAAACATCCAGAGACACTTCAGCTGCCCTCAAATATATGTAATCAGTGATTTTTCTTTTTCTTTTTGCCTACAGGAGCTTTATCCAGCCTTCTGCATTCACAACGGTGGGAGTGACCTGGAGCGCCTGCCTACAGCCAGCACCTGCATGAACCTGCTCAAGCTCCCAGAGTTCTGCGACCAACACCTGATGAGGAGCAAGCTGCTATACGCCATCGAGTCGAGCGCCGGGTTCGAGCTCAGCTGAGCCGGGACAAAAAGTTTGTTCGTTTCAGCGCCGGCGGACCCGACGCCACTGAGGTGGCTTTAGAGTAAAAGACTCTAAATAGAAGAGAGAAGGCAAAAAAAAAAGGAAAAAAAAGGAAATGCACTGATTGATTATTGTGTTTCTGTCTGCGTGTGTGAGAGTGCCAAGTAAAAGAAAAGAAAGGGTGAGACTTAGTGGGATGTTTTCTTTTAAACCCTTGTTTTTAGGACATTTTTAAATCAGTTTTGAGAACCATACAGAATATCAGTGTTGCGTCTGACATTTAAATGCCGATGACGGTAAACAAGAGCAATGGCAACTCACTGTGTCATTTAATGACGTGAACTATTATTTTTCCACCAAAGAGAAAGTGGTGTTGTATTAAAAAAGGCAGTACGGCAGCTTGCGGTGCACCAAAGGCTGCTGGGAGGGACCATCTTTGCCTAAAGCTAACAGTGTTTTCGTGTGGAGGTCGTTGAAATTCCAGTTTCTGTCATTTCTAAGTAACTGTGCCTTGCAATAGTATTTATACCCCACAAAGTTTTTCCTTTTTTTTTTTAATGAACTGTTATGCATTTTATGCAATCGCTAAGTAAGGATCAATTAAGTGGAAGGATAAGAATGTAAGAAGATTTCAGATCTAAAAAAATTATGCATGCATTTGTATTCAGTTCTCCTAGTTCAGTCAACCAATTTTTATTTTTATTTTTGTACAAAGTAGTTCAAGTTCCGCCTGGTTGTATTAAGTGTCTGTGAACATCAATTTTCCAGTTTTTCCACAGATTCTCAATTTATCCTTAGGCTTGGACTTTGACTGGGCCACTCTAAACCATGGATATGATTTGTTCTGGCTTTCTGCTGTATCTCCGCCCACAATGAGGTTTTTGTTCTGCTGGTAGATTAGCCGAGTCTTCTTTCGTCTTCTGTTTTTCCTCCAGGACTTCCCTGCATGTAACCCCATTAATCATTGCATAGACTTTGATCAGCTCTCCTGCCTAGTAAAACATCCCATAGCATAATGCTGCTCCCATCATGTTTTGCTGTGGGGATGTAGTGTTCAGGATGATGCGTAGTTAATTTTTTTCAGTGTTTGTTTCATCTGACTTGAGCAACTTCTTTCACCTGTTTGCCTACAAGCCCTACATTCCCACAAACCCTTAAAGGCCTTTGGGAAAATACAAACGGGACTTCTTGTGGCTTTTTTTTCCCCTTTTTCTTCCATAAAGGCTGAGTTTGCAGACGATATACTTAATAGTTGCTCTATTGGATCTCTGCAGCTCCCCCGGAGTTACCAGTGCTCCATTTCTACTACTCAGATTTTTATGGCCTTTCGTTCTCCACAGTTTCATCCCTTTTCTATTAATCAATTAGTCTTTATAAGGCTGTTTGGTCATTGTCATCCAACAAACCTCTGAGGCATTTTGAGGATTTCGCTGGGCTTTATTAAAGGGTACCGTGGTGAAAAGAGTTGAAAACAAATGCATGCATCAGGTATGTTGTAAAACATACCTGATGTTTTACAAAACGACACACACGTTTATGATTGCAACATGGTAAAATATGGAAAAGATGAAGGGCTATGAAAACGTTTGCAAGGCACTGTAACTTGTGTTCAGTTTTATGTCTAAAAACCATTCTCCACACAGTGTCTGACATCTTGAGAAGACTAGTCTTGCTGGGATAAATTAGAGGAAAGCATTATACGATTACGGCTTTGTGAATATGTATATGTTTTAAACCGCTCTTGTATGAGTCATGTATTTGTTATTTGTACAGGTTTGTTTCCGTTCCCACATGTACCCGCTTACGTGAACAGTTTTTGTTTTTCTCTTTTTGCCTGATCAGCACATGAAGGCTCGTGTCCTACTGATGACCTGCGTACCAACAGGGTGGTGAGAGTGAATACGGATATGAATAAATCCGCTTTTCTTTTTGCATTTTCCGTCCATTAGCCGTCCAGTTTTTCTTGTTGCTTGTAATTTACAGTAATGACCGAGACATAAAACGGTGCTTTGTGGGGAAATTTCCGCTCCGAGTTTTACGGCCTCTGACATATAATTAAAGAAACATCCAGTTAAGAAACACTGAGCAGAACTGTGCTGGCCTTGAGATGCATTATCGGGTTGAGCACAAATTAAGATTGTGTGCGTTTATCATAAATCTCGCTGCCCCCCACCCCCGATGCCACACGACCCGGGAAGACATCCATTCCTTTTTGGACTGAGTCCATCTCTCCATCCTATCCTTCTCTTTCTCACTCCCCGCTCGGCTGAAATGACCAACGTCTCCTCTTGTGTCAACGCCGGATCCTCTACTCTTCAACTGGCCCAGAGAACTCATAGCAGTAATTGGGTCTTAAAAACTGGACTTGTCGTTGAAATGAGGGATTTATCTCAATTACTGTGAGATTTATTTAGGTCTATTACCTTGTGATGGATTGTAACTGACAACGTTAATGCAGGACGCTATGAATCTTCTCCAGTGTATACTTTTTTTTTTAAAGGATGTCTGATGTTTGTTGATCTGACTTCAGAGAAAACATGTTTATATATATATATATATATATATATATATATGGCAAGCACCATTGATACACAAGGTAATGTGAAGTACTTTACACAAGAACCAAAATCAAAACAAACGACAAATCAAAACAGCAAGGCGTCTCATAAAAGAATAAAACCATGAGCCCTAATAAAAATAGTAGGTTAAAACGGCTATATTTAAACTAATAAAAAGCCAATACATGTTAGAAATGAAAAGTACCATTTTAGTCCAGAACAGATTGAAGAAGTCTGACGTGAAGAATCTACACAATTACCCGATTAGCAACTCTGAAAATGTATTTAGACCATCAAGATTTGAAAATGCTATTTGAACAGATAGTTTTCATTTTGTCCTGAAGACTATGTAAGCATAAATATCTACATGAAACTGCTAGCTGAAACAAAACATGTATTTGGGCTTATCTGTTTTTGCTTATGACATACTGCCATCTGGTGGCTGATTTGGTACTTAACAATTTAAGCATTTCCAGTTTTTAAAAAAACAAACAAAAGACCAAAAAAAACATGTGTCAGACGATTTCTTCTCCAAGCCCTCTCATCTCCAAGGATGAGATTGAGTAAAGGTCATAATTTCAAAACTCGCACATTTTAACAGCGTATGAGTGTTTATTCACATTTTGATCTGGGAGTTGACCAACCTTGTCTTCATTTTAAAATAATGCTTGTTGGCAGTAGTTCATCATACATTTAATTTGTTTTAAAGTTTACAGTTGCAAGCCATTTGTGTCTCCTTTTAAAATGCATCTACAGTGATGGCAGTCCAATAAATACATAAAGATCTTTATTACAACATTTAGACACAGCTACTGACATTGATGCCAGTGTCCTCTAGTGACAGTAGTCAGAGAAGGCAAGAGGAGATTAAATTTATTTTTAATGAGAAACATAGGAATTTGAATTGAAATGTTTAAAAGCATACACTAATTATTTTTAGTCAATTATTTTTTCATTATTGTATGTTTTATATTGTTAGTAAACTATGGCTTGTGAAATACAGCCTAACTTTTTTAAACCTTTAGTTTACTATACAGCATAAGATTAAGACGTCATTAAAGTAATTTAAAAAAGTGTTTAAGAATAGCAAAATGCTATTCGGTTAAAGCAATTTTAAATAGTTATTAGTTTAAATTTGTTTTTCAAAATAGTACATGACCAAGATGCAGCAGAAAAGAAAAGTGCTGATCAAATTTTGCCGAGCTCACGTGAGGAGCGGGTTTTGTGTCCACTCCTGACTGGAGGCATGAGACGAAGAAATGCTGCCACGACGTCTTTCACATTGTTACAGTGTACATAACATAAGTATTGTTTTCTAAATCTGTCGATAGATGGCGCACCATTTGGACCATCTTCGTCCATGCCGGATAGCAGTTCCTTCCTATGATTAACAAAATTTCATTAACGATATGTTGCTTTAGGTCGGTAACTCCATTTAAAAATATTCGGTTTAAACTCCCAATGTACCTCCACTGCAAGATGTCTTATGAATTTCCACAGTGACACCGGAGACGATGCGTTTGTGTGGACGCTGAAAGACGTGCTACCTTTAGCTATCCCTCGTAAATACAGATTGCAGAATAAAATTCTGCTTTGTATTTTTATTGTTGTACAAACCTAATGAATTCTTATCGATGGTAAGACAATAATCGAACTCAACATTGGAAATTAAATGCAACATTTTCAAAATTGTATTAGAGTAGTTGCATAATTTCTTCTTGCATGTAAGTTATTTATATTGGGGTTTATTGCAAATTGAATCTGTTTCTAAATGTGTGATTCGAGATATATTATGAATATTTTTACGGCCGCAAAAGTACAGCTTTTAAAGGATACCCGTAAAAAGGCCGATTATTAGATTTCCGACAGCACCTGAAGGCAGCAGTCGCAGCTAGTGGGCAAGGCCAAAAAACCTCCACCATCATTATTAACCAGCTGCCGCCGACTGCAGCGACAGTTTCTGTTCTCAGGAAAAATATAGTCTGAACAGCAATAAGAGAGAGTGGGCATTAAAGTGGACATCTTTGTTTCAGAGGTATGTATTGTAATAATTACCTTGTTTAATTTTTTACGGAACATTAAACGCCGTAAGGCTGGGATCGGCCTCTGTAAAATCGGTTAAAACCTGCCGCGCCGCATTGAGTCATATTGTGATGGTGTGTTGTCCTCTGTGCTGTCGTTGATAATATACTTAAGTTATTAACGCCTTTTTATGTCCGATTACGCTTTACGCCTGCACACATATAGGCGGTTTTCGAGATCGTCGTGGGGGGTCTTCTACGGTTTAGCAAATCAAGCTAATTGCTATTACTAGCCACGACTGTTAACTAAATAGCATTAGCTGTTCTACAGTTAGCTAGTAACTATCAGCAACTGTGTAAACTGTGTTTATAAGTAGTGTTTGTTGCGCAGGTTACGAGAGCCTCAAGTTCATGCTTTGGCTCATAATGTCCTAAATCTTGGGGTAAAGCTATTGTTAGCAAGATAAGGTCCACAGCCTAATGTCAAAGTTACCATGACTTTACTTTTTGAGGTCGTTAAAGTTGTTTATTTTTAATTGGTGTGTCGCAAATAGTTTCTGCTGCAAAGTGCGTTTCAAGCCGAGAGACTTTCTAGAAGTTTCTGTATCTGATCGACCGCATTTTATGTGCTACCTCGCTATTTTAGGCGTGTGACTGGCCTGTTTGTGGTGATTTTCAGAAAACCTGAACATACTCAGTAGTTTTCCATTTGATATTTAGTGATTAAAATTACTATAGGTTAACAAGGATAGTTGCTATTGGTGACAAAGTCCCAGGGGGAATGATTAAGTTTCAACAAATGATAGTGATTCATCAACTCTGAATTTATCATTTAATCTGTCAATTTATTTTTTATTAATTGAGTATTTTTAATAGTATCACTGTATATTCTGGTTTTCCTGTTCCTTCCATAATAAAAAAAATATTTCATACCAATCCTTCATATTTGGGGCATCGGTTTTGAACCATTTCTTGCATTGTTTTTTTCTTGTATCAAATGCCTTAAGATCCAAATAAGTGTATTATTTATGTTTGCCTACAAAGAAAAGCCCCAAAAGAGTTGATCCCAATAGAAATATGGGTGTAACAATGAATTGTCATATGATTATTTATTTATTTATAGGGTGTTTACAAATCCTAGGAGCTAATGTTTGGGGCTTGTTACCTTTTCTAACTTTTCTAATTTGCGTGGAGTGAAAAAAAAATTGAGCAACATTTCTCATAAAAATTGCATACATTGAAAATGAATTCTTATGTTTTTCTTCTTCTTTAAAATGTTTCTTATATTAATGGGATTTTATTTGTTGGGTATTAATGCAGGACTGCAAATGTTTTCATGTGAAAAAAAACATGTAAAGAGTGCTTTTCTTAGTAACTTGCATAACTAGAAAGGGCAAAAGTTGGGGCAAACCTTGTTTGGTCAAACCTTGTTTGACCCAACTGGAAAGTTGAAATTGTCAGAGATGTGCAATAATATTAATAATTTTTATTTATGATTCCATTGGCATATCGAATTAAGATCTCAAAGGGCACATTCACATGCTGATGATGGCAAGTTACTAAATTGTAGCCACAGCTGCCCTGGGGCAGTTTAAATGCCATTTTGTGCCATCAGCCCTCCTGGCCACCACCAGCAGGCGAGGAAGGTGGGTGGAGCAGGAACGCTGTGATATTTAAACCAGGGTTCTTGGAACACATTATGGCAAATTTATTTTCTTGTGGTTTTAGCAAGTTATTGTGTCACTTTAAAACAAATATGTTGAAAACTTTTACCTTTAAAAAAAAATAAATAAATTGTTCAATTGTCCAGCTGTTCACTTAAGTTTTTCTTCAGATCTATTTTTGTTTGGATAGAAAATTGCTTATGAAGTCTACAGCTGAAATTCAGAGTTCACATAAGTCCCACTTTAATGACTTTGATAGTCATTTTCTTATCACAGGCAGTAAAACCCTTTACTGAATTTTATGTGTTGTTGCATGACTTGTTTCCTCAAGGCCTGAAACTTTCATATTTTGTGCCTTGTGGTTTTTGTCAAATTAAGTGATTTGATGATATTAATAATTTCATCCACATGGATGATACACTGACGCCACAGTGAAAGTTGAAGGCAAAATCCAGCCCAAAGGAGTTTCTCTCTCCTGTTTTCTCAAGCTCTCGTTGCCCGAATCGTTTCAGGTGAAGGGCGTGGGTTTTATTGTGGTGTTCTTCGCAGTCACCTGGTTTTCTTCTCTTGTCAGCTGTGGTTTGTGTTGGATCTTCCCTGTTCCCTGTCGGGGTTTTTTTTTTTTTTTGTGCTGAGCTCTTGCCTTGTCGATGTCACATTTACTGCGGTGTTCTGGATGTTTTCAAGCACAGACAAACCTCCTCTTCTAGTTGTTTATGAGGTCAGTCACGTTGTCGGAAAAACATTAGGAGTTCGGTTTGAAATCTTAGAAACTTTATTATGAAATTAAAAACTTCCATGTCTTTGTGTGTGTGTGTGTGGGGGGGGGGAGGAATAAAATGCTCGACTCTTATCAGATTTCTTAGTCTCTTGATAAAATCTGAAAGCCACCTGCAGATGATTAACTTGGGTGTTTATGTAGATGTTTGGATGATAATGTTGGTCTGTAAATGGCTGATCGGGACACAGAGTAGACACAAAGGGTTGAGTCTCATCTATATTATATTTATATATTTTTATTGACGTTTTATAGACCTGAGCAGTCATTTCTATCAAGAGAACAATGTTACAGATAAAATACATTTAGTTTTTGAGAATCTATTAAAAGAAATGTATATTGGGGAAAGACTTGCAGTGATGACAAGTGGTTGTAACATGGACTTGGATGTCTCCCAGTCACATGTTGCATTTCAGAACTAACCAGATTACTTAAAAAAATAAAATAAAAACAGAGTTGCCTAGAGATGGCTTAAATGGGAAGATTAATAACTTTTATGTAACCATCTTAACACATTCAGTGTTTCCAGATTTTTGAGTTTGTAAAAAAAAAAAAAAGTCTTGCTCATTTAACATTTGTGCTCCTAGAGTTTAGAAACTCATCGACTGAAACAAAGTAACAGTGATCTAACAAGTCAGAATGTTACAAAGTCATTTTAATGATTCTTTGGCGCTTGCATTGTTTTTCACTTGAAGGCAAAGTTGAAGTACTGACTCAACTCTTATTTTAAGAGTTTTAATGTAACTTGTTGCATAATGTCACCCCTCAAAGGGGAAACTCATTTTGGCACACCAGCGCAACTCAGCTGAACAAAGTCTCGAGCAGATGTTGTTTTAATCTCTTGCTGCTCAACAAGCCTGTAGGTGTTTGATTCACATTACGGTGCATAAAATGAAGAACATTAAGATCGGACCATGCTGTTGAGTTTCCCGGTGTGAACTTTCTCCCACGGTGCAGATCTCATGAACATGTGAAGATGTTGTTTTTAACTGACTTATAAAAGTAACATTAACTCATTTCCAAAAAAAAAAATCTAATTTGATTTCTTTAAATTAAACATGATTGATGTTACCGAGGTTATATTCTTAATTCCTATGTCGTAAACAATAGCTTAAACATTTGTGTGTTTCATTTTTAACCTTGTTTCATCTTAATTTGTTCAACTTTACTTCTTTATTTCATTTTCACTATCTAAGTTTGGATTGGTAACATTATACGTTTTTATTGTTCTGTTACTGATAAAAGAAAATCTAGAAGTTTCTGTTGGAATCCTTGTCAGCTCTCATTTCCTGCCATACATGTAGGGTGTTTGTCTCCAACAAAAAGTCTTGCCTAAAAATGGTTTTGTCCAATGAGGTGAGGGGCAGTTGCATGACGGTGGATAAAGATGTGGCTGTTGTCCACCTGATAATGGAGATAAGTTCAGACTTGGGGTGTGTTCT